AGGTTGAAAAATACTGTCAACAGTTCAGGACTTGGTGTCACAGCAAAAGGGGGAAGAGTTTTCCGAGTGGGAGGGAAATAAATCCAAGTAAATCAACTCAGTTGCTTTCCAGAAAATTAAAAAAAAAAAAATCACCCATGAGGAGCGAGGGGAGCACCAGCCTCATGCAAAAAAAAAAAACCCACAGAAAACCTGTTCCTTTAAAGGAAACTTCTAATCTGAAGTCAAGTTAGCAATGAACTAATTGGGAAACGCTCATTTATCACAAAGCTCTCTTGGGAACAACCCTTGAAGGCCAATGTTCACCCCAAGTTCTCCTTTCAGCCATAGGAGAGACAGAACTGACTGGCCAGGAAAAGAAAAGCAATAGTTTAAAGGTTTGTTGGCTTTAGAAAACCCCAAACCTTTAAGACTACTCGTGTACAGACACAATACCCTCAAGTTCAGTGTTTTTAAAGCAAAAGGCTCACACATCTGTTACAAACACACGTTTCCCAAGTTTCAAGTATATTAAAAAAAACCCAAAAAAAATTCCAAACAATCCAGAAAGTGTCTGTTTGCCTTCGTTCTGGTACCTCTGAACAGGATAATATTTTAAATTAAACCTGGCGACCCTGAAAAATTCACTCTCAGGAGAAGGCAGAACTTCAGTCCTTAACCATAAATGATTTTTTTTCTTTTTTTTTTTTTTTTAAGAAATATTTCCAATGACTTACTAACTACAAGGAGTGAAAACTCCACTTGACCAGATTAAATCACGAGGGGCTTCCAAATGAACCTGATTTGGGCTCTGATTGACTCAACGGGAGAGTGGGAAAGGGAACGTTTTTGAACACGTGGCAAATCCTGAGGTGACAAAACCCAAACTGTCCCCGGCCTGGGTGCAGACATTTCACTGCTTGGCTGATTGTCTGCCTGGCTTTTTTTCCTGCTGGCCTCTTCCACTGCCTGGAATTCCTCTGCCACGGCCACCAAACACACCTGTGGAGCAGAAAGGAAGGGCACGGATGTAACAGCACCCCTGGCACACAGTTATTCTTGTTTTACCCAAATAACAGGCTTATTTTTGAGCCTTAGAAGCAGAAACAGGACTTTTTGACTTCTCCCTTTCCAGTCCCAGACCTGTGTTTAAGAGGTGCACAAACTGGTGTGTTAATGTCATGATTGATGGTAATGTCGTGGCAAATTGAAAAATGGAGCCAAGGAAGCAATAAATTTAAAATCCAGGTCCCCTGAGAGCTGTGAGGGCCAACAAAAGCTGGACAGAGCAATCCATGGCTTTGGAGAGGGCACAGGACAGGACAGCAGGAGCTGGGAGGCTGTGGTGAGATGAGCATCCTCATACCCAAAAGCTGCGACTGTCACAGGAGCTGCTGAGCTCAGATTTACCCCCAAAATAGGGATAAATCAGGATGTGGATCCACCCTGCCAGGCAGAACCCAAAGGAGACTCAGTCCGAGCACCAGGCACAAGAGCCCTCAGCGGTTGCTTCATTGAGGAGACGTGATTAAATCAAAGGCAAAATATAAATTATTCCAAAGCCTGCAGTGCTTGGGATGTTCCAGCTGCTCCTGGAGCAAAGACCAGGGACTTCTGAGTTTGGCAAGCAAGAAGTCAAAGAGGATGGATTACCAGTGTCAGAAACAATAACCCTTTCAACTGTGTGCACAATTACAGCTTCACTCCTGCCTGGTGGCCTCCCAACAAAATTGTCCTGCCTGGTTGTTTTGTTGGGTTTTTTTTTTTTTTTCTTTCCCCCTCCCCTTTCCCTCCTCCCTTCATGTCTCAGTAATGAGAGCCAAACCTTTGAGCTAATTAGCCAATGCTCGAAAATATTCCATCAGCGAATTCGAGCTGCACATGAAAACAGCAGGAGCTCCACCTCAAGAGCTCCAGCTCTGCTCCCCACAAGGTGGATATTTCCGTATTTCCACGGC